CAGACCAAGAAACATTATCAATGACGTTCGTCGAGAGTTTGGCATAACTATAAAATATCACAAGGCGTATATGGCCAAAGAATCTGCTTACAAAGAGGTTCGAGGTAGCCCTGATGGTAGCTATGCAAAGTTACCAATGTATTGTCACATTCTGGAGAAAAATAATCTTGGTACGTTGACCTTTATTGAAACCGATAATGATGGACATTTCATGTATTTTTTTATGGCATTAGGACCAAGCATACGTGGATTTCTCTCTTCAATTCGACGGGTAATTTGTGTGGATGGAACATTTTTGAAATCTAAGTATCGAGGTACGTTACTTGTTGCCACATGCCAAGATGCAAATCGTCAAATTTATCCACTTGCGTGGGGCATAGTGGATTCAGAAAACAATGACTCATGGACTTGGTTCTTTCAGAAGTTACGACAGATAACCGATGACACAGACGAGCTAGTCTTTATATCTGACCGTGCAACAAGCATATCAAATGGTTTCAACAGCGTCTATCTTAACGCACATCATGGACATTGTATATGGCATTTGCAAACTAACTTGAAGAGCAAATTCCCTCGCATAGATATTGTGCCATTGTTTAGAGCTACTGCACAGGCATATAGTTTGGCAAAATTTGAGATTAATATGCAAGCATTGTGCAGTCTACACGAGAAAATCAGAGAATACTTAGAGGAAGAGGTTGGCGTGGAGTATTGGTCAAGAGCACATTTCAATGGAATCAGATACAATATTATGACCACAAACAATGCAGAATCATTAAATTCATTGTTGAGAAGTGCTCGAGAATTTTCTATACTTGCTTTGATCGAGTATATCAGGGAAAAGATGCAGAGTTGGTTTCATGATAGGCGCATTGATGCCGAAAAATGTACAAGCTATCTCACCCCACTAATGGAGGAGAAAATGTACGATAGGTATAATGAGTCAAAAGGTTTTGAGGTAAAAGCTCTTAGCCCAGATGAAATGCAAGTGAGTGATAAAATGAAAAGTTTTATTGTTAATTTGGAGAGGGGGACATGCACATGTAAGGAATTTGATCTGGACCAATTTCCATGTGCACATGCAATTGCAGTAGTAAGGGATGTTGGAGACAATTGTTACAGGTTTTGCTCTCCATTTTATAGCACTTCTTACTGGAAACAAGCTTATTCTGAATATATATATCCACTGTCAAATGAGGTGGACTGGGAAATTCCCGATAGTGTTCGATCAAGAAAGGTGATACGACCGTTGACACGAAGAGGAAGTGGACGTCCACCAAAAAAAAGGAAACAATCAGCCGGAGAGGTGTGCAAGTCTCGTAAGTGCAGTAGGTGTTTGAAAACTGGGCATAACCGTATCACTTGTACAGATCGTGTACCACTTAACGAGAGACATGAATGATGAAGATAAAATCGCACATCTGTTGAATTTTGACTTTTATGATGTGCTTCTTTTGTAGTATTAAAAA